CTTCATTATGAATGATTTGGCATATTCCAAAAACCGAAAGGTCCACTGATTAATCTCAGATAAGAAAGTATAATACATACTCCAAGTATTGAAATACACGCCATCGTGTTGGGATTCAATATTTCGACATTAATTATGTCATCATCAGGAATGGATGGACTAGCAGTCCAGAAATGGCATTCTCAGACCTAAATTTGAATATATTTTTATTTTTCTTTTTTTTACCGTTTTTTTTTTAAATTTACGGGGGAGGGGAGTAGTGGGCCCCTTGATTACCCCTACTGACTTGCATAGTCTATAACCTCTCTAGATACAAATGTGAATGAAAAACTATTTTATAAATAAATATTTTAATTTTCCATTTGTGACTTATTAAAAGTTAATAAAAATTTTTCCAAATTAAAAGTTAATTATATGTGGTATATTGTAGGTGGCAAACTATACTTGGGACATATAATATAGGTCATATAAGCCCTAGTAGAGTAGCAATGCGCACAAGGTGCTAAATTTTAACAGTACCAGGTATAAATATAGTATGACAAAATTTTACAATATTGCATCAGGATATTACAATTACAAAATTATATATAAACCTTATACACATTCTATCAAAATATTACATACAATACAAACTTAATATCAAAACAAATTTTGATAAATGTATTGTACTGTGATTTGAAATTACAGTACAGATGTGGAACTTAAATTGTCTCCTAATAAAATAGCACCCATGTAGACATTCACTGGAGAGGCAAAGTTGACATTAACACTAGCAAGTCCCAAAGATCTGAGATGCAAATATAGAGGGCGCTATGCAAAATCATTTCTATACATTATGTACATATAAACTGCTAATTTTTTATATATATAAAATACTACTTTATAGCACCTAATAAAGAACTATTATTAAACATGAAGCCTTTAGTAGGTATAATAAAAATATATAATATAATAAAGTTTAACAATAAATGTTGATAATAAATATGAAGTCCTTTTTTCTTCATTTTCAAGTAATTGCCACACATATTCACTCATTTTCCTACAAGAGCAAAAGGAATTGATGATTGTTGTCATTATTGTCATTAAATCAAAATTTCCATAAAAGAATACATACACTGTATATCTACTCGCACAAGACTGCGAATTATAGCTTTACAATTTCACATAGCAGATCTATAACTTGACAGTCAAAATATTTATTCTACCTTTTGTATTTCAATGTATGTATTTAAGTTTGAAGTGGCACTTTGTAATTTTAAGTTAACTGTATTGGATTTTATGATAATAAATTATTTTTCTCATCTCAGCTCAAATTAAAAAAAAATTTATATATGTAAATTCCAAGGTATACAAACTTCTCCATCGCGAAGCACAGAATAATATCGTGAAATTCGTAACCGTAGGTCTTGCATAGACACAGGGAGTCGCAGCTGGCTGTCAATCAACTTGTTTAAACATTCATTTGCTTGCTCTTCCGTTAAAGACAAGTCCACCTCCAGGCTCTTTAAACTGTAATTCTTCATGCATTGTGCCACTAATCTTTTCCTATCTGCTTGAAGTCTAGAATAAAACAAAGAACATGATGTTTTAGTTTGGAAAATAAACACTAAAAAACCAGTAATGTCAGCATTTGACTTCACCGTTTGTAAAAACCAAAAATTCTAATTCAGTAGATCCTGCAAAGACAGTTATTAAATTTATTAAAAGGGTCACCACTTCCTAACTCAGTGTCTGATTGTATTTAAAAAAGGTAAAGGCGAGTCGTACGGCCGAGTGGTTAAGACAGGGAGCCACAACGTACAGTCATCAATATTGGCGTTGGTATATAAACCATTGGCCCAGTGTACACAATTTTACTCATACACACTCTAAAAATTCCAGTACATCTTTTGAGACGAGTAGGGGGTTACCCTGGTGTGCTAGTTCATACAGTCCCTGTTGTGGACCAGGACAGATGAGAGTAACTGGTATCAGTTTACTCTGTAACTCAGACAGGAAGAGATGCTTAGGAGAGAAGCAAGTATCTGTACGTGCCTGTCCACACCTCAAGCACTTTGGGTGGTATAAAGCAATATATAAATCTAACTACATTGCACATTATATTACCATAAGGAATGGCCCGGATACCTCTGGCTAGGTCCCTTTCCGGGCCATATCACGCATTTTCGCCACTTTCACAACACAATATATGGATCGAAAGGGAAATAATAACACTACCGCCTATAATTCAACTACGACTAGGCCCAGTGGTGTATCCAGAATTCTTGAAATGGGGGTGCTGATGGGGGGAGGGCGCAAAGGTGAAGTAGGTGGATCGATTGATTAATTGAGGGGCGCTAATTCGCAAAATACGGTGATTTTTAACTATTTGCAAGTGATTTTTGTGTGGCGACTTTTTTATTGGAGGGGCACGAGCCCCCACGCAACCTTCAACCCCCCTGGTCATTGGGTCCTCATGCTTAAGTGCTGCTGCCATATTGGCGCATACCTGACGCTATTCATCGATGCCATGCCCTCCCACAAATAATTTGTAAGATGGTAATTATATATCTTAATTCCTGCACAGTTGTTTTAAATAAAAAACAAGAGTTATATAATTTCAAATGTACTGTATATTTACCTCACAACCTACTGTTATTGTAGGGGGCAACTAAGATACAGTACTAAAGTTTAAAAAAAATGGGCAGGGCTTCGCCGTATGTCATGGCTTTTTAAGAAAAATGCTATGACTGGAAAACTTATATTGTATATACAATTACAATTATTGGAGACAACTAGGATATTAAAGTTTTAAAAAAAATCACCAGAGCTTCGCCACACATTGTGAAAGAAAAATGCCATGACGGAAAACCAAGTATATAAAATCACAATTATACATAACTACCACTAGGTTTTTTTAATTATTAAAATATTACCAGACAAAATGGTTATTTTATGTCAATTTTAATTTAAATAATAAGGATAACCTTGCCTAAATCCAAATAATTCCACATTGAAACATTGTAGTGTAAAATATTGTGAAAGGAAGATAGAGGATAGTTTAATTGAATGACCCATGATTAGTCCCCTATGAAAACACAGACCAATGTAGCAATGCTAGCTAGCTTAAAATGCCGACCAATATACATTACTATATTGCATGCTAAGAACCATATCTGGGCCGAACGCGCATCTTGGTACAGCCACAGATCCTATTGGTACAAAAGATCAAGCCTTTGTGTTTACCGCTTACGGTGTCGGCAAGTTTTCCAAGGGAAAGTTGAACGAGTCTCTCGTCGAATATGCTGTGATTATGGAACTATTGCAGAGGGCCATGTACAGCATTGAATTGAGTCACATGTTGAACTAAATGTGGAATTGTGGGTTGATTATAACAACCTTTCGCCCGCAAATCTTGTTCCGACGGTGTAAGTTACACCGGTGATATTGTAGTTATCGAACAAGCGCTTGTTATGAGGCTGACACCGACCGCATGAACAGGATCCCCTGATAGAAAACAAGCTAACACTGACAAATGATCGGATTGGCAAGGCTCTCATCCGATAGAACTTTCTGTTAATTGACTTGCCACATGTTGATTGCAATAACATCTGTAGCTTGACCACGGTCTCGTTTTCGAGGCAATTCTAGTTGGGTCATAATATCAAACAATGCATCTTTAAAATTTCCTTTTTGAGTTGTTTTTAAATTTATAATTGTCAAAAGTAATCCAAATAAAACAATACAGGATAAATTTCTATTATTACCGTTCGTTGTAAACTTCATATAAATTTTCATGTCTTATTTTGGGAAATCTGCAAAATACCGTGGTAGTTCGTTGGCTGTGCCTAAAGATATAGCTAAATGGAAATACAGTGAACGTCGGTGAGATACTGTACGTACATGATTCTGAGATTAAAGCTAAATACGGTAGCCACTGCAATTCACACTTTCTAGCAAGAACAACCACAAATCAACGCACTGTACTCACATACTACATTTGTTAGCTCGGTTTTAATGCTGCCGAAAATCTCCTAAATGTTCATTGGTAGGCTTAGGGTAGGTGAGAAAAAAAAATCTCAGAGTGTTATTTCACTTTTTTGGAATGCTCTACTAAGTGAAGATGAAAAAATTGGATGTTAAACATATTTTGCCTTTTATTTATCGATACTTGGGATGGCCTACTGCCTACCCAATTCAAGCAGGCCTAGCCATTGAATTCAGCCTAGTCTAATGTAATTTCTGTTTTGTCGTCTTTGTTTTATTAAAACATCATCATGAGATCAATAGAAATAATTTTAATTTCAACTTTTTTATATCAGTGTATAAGCGCTATAACTATCCGCTATAACTCTCGTGTAGACATACGATAAAATTTGATGCGACCTTGACTGGATTTCTCATTAATTTGCATTGGATAGTAGTGATCGCCGGAACATAGCTAGTATTGTTCATAGAGGCGCAGCTAGGCCTATCTTTCCGAGTTTTTCAATGTTATTTAATGTTTACAGTCAACTGTATAATAAAAATAAAAAACAGTAATTAACAATTATTTTGTAATTTCCCCTGATTAACTGAAGGCAAGGTTATCTTTATTAATACATTACTTAATAATTAATACATTAATTAATACATCCATGGCACTCCCAATGAACTAAGTTCATTATCAAGTAAATTAAATATGTTTTCTCCTGTTGATCTGTCACAGCATTCTTTGATCGATATCAGTTCACAAACAACTATCCCCATAGATTTATCAAATAATTTTATTACCACAGGATATAATAATTTAACCGACTCCACAAAGATTTTGAGGCGCGCGCCCGGCACACTCTGTGAGAAATGTTGGTGATTTGCACACATCGTTTGATTTTACCGATAGGCTGTTTTGAGCATGTTTTAAGTTACTGTTGAATCTCTATCAGTAAACGTCTTGTTGAAATTCTGAAAATAAGGACGTGCTGATTTTTTGGGTGTTTTTGACATTGGAAATCGGGATGATCCTGATTAAATATGGTCCTACGGGTCTGTTGGCGCAGTAGCAGGCAACACCACTAGGTACCCATTTATACTCCTGGGTAGAGAGAAGCAATATAAATAAAGTGTCTTGCTCAAGGACACAAGCAAAATGCACAGCGAGGATTGAAACCCCGACCTCGAGGTAGGGAATCCAACCGTTCCAGCTGTGCCAAACTGCTTCCTTACCAACTTCTTTTTTAAAAAGGATTGTACAATTTTTTTACATGGCCTTATTATTATTATTTATGTGTACCTTGGATAATTCTTTAGTCTTTCCCAAGATTTGGTCTTGTTCTTCAGTAAAAAGCTAATGGCTTCCTGAGGCTGTGTTGAGGCTGGCAGGACAAATCGTCCTGATCGTAGTAATGCCACATGTCCAATAGTTCTGAAAATGAAACATAAAAAAATTGGTCATAAAAATAATATTGAATTACATATTTGAAAAAAAATATATATTTGAAAGATGACCACTAAATTTTATTATAAATAATATTAGTTTTTTTTTTAAAGTAGTAAATTAATTAAATTTTAATTAGTAAAAATGGTAACTAATTCAGCTGAAATATAACTACAAAACAGTTTAAAAATTTCTTGGGAAAAATATACATCAACATGGGTGAAACACAATATTACACACATTATTTATACAGTAGAAAATTTCAGGAAATAGCAAAGAACAATATAGAATGCCATCCATCCAAGGAATACTAAAAGTGACACAACACAGAGGGTTCTACAAGTCATCTTAAAAGCAAAATGAGATGCACATATCAAAACTAAATCACAAAGACTGCATTATGAATGAATAAAGTTTGTTTAGGTTGACCAGGATCTTGACTTACCCTTCAATGACGAGTTTCAATTGTTGCATTGAGTTAGGTGGGATCACACGGCCCTCCTTCCAACGGCGTCTTGATGAATGGTAACTATTTAAACTGCTTATTAGCTTTTGGAGTAGGAGCGTGTAGTTTTCGATCGTTATTCGGTGGAAGTACTTCTCCCTAGAGATGATGATGTTACCAAGGTAACAAGAAACCTCCTCTTCCATCGATGAAAGGCCATCCATTAATTGTAGTGTCTTTGGTAAATGTTCAAGTACCTGAATTAAGAAAGTTGATTATTAAAAGGTTTTCATAAAGATGTTCAACCAGATCAAAATTAGAATAGGTAGCTTTATAATTATAATGGACCCTTCTGCTACGCCCAGCAATTGGATGATGTTAGTAAGGTCTAACCAAACGACAACATAAACATACATAACAATCTGCGTTTGTGGAATGTCGACACATGTTTGTTGTATCGTGAGGTATTGTGTCGTATAATATCCAGAAACTCCCAAATCAGAGTTTTGCATACAGTACAAGTTTTTGAGGCAGACAGGGTCAAGATTATAAATCCAAGGCCTGTACGATGTGAGGCTTAACCCTCTACTGATTGCATCACTGAGTGGGCACACGGGAGGCGAGAGAAGGGAACTGCTGTTTTTTGTTATCATTTTAACACTCGCGACAAGGTATGATACAAAAAAAAATTTCTCACCCAAGTCTCATGAACAAATTGTCAGATGAGTAGAAAAAAATAATTTAAAATATAAATATAATTACAATTCTACACATTTGTGACCCAAAATCATAAAAGGGATGTAAACTCATCTTCAGGTCAAAATGAGTTTTTGTTATGATAGCATAGAACATATAATTTACTTTAAAATGACAGTTAAATGAACTCAACTGGGTGTCTGGAAGCAAAGTTATGACTGTTTGAATAATTCAATTCAATTCAATTCAATTTATTACAAAATTCCACATATCGTGCCCTGGAGTCCAAATTGCATGTAAAATTACAAATAAGAACATATAAAACAATGAGCAGAAATATAAAAAAGACATATAAAAATGTAAAACAAACAGGAACAAGATGCGGGTCGAAATATCAATATATAACATTACAAGAAAAAAAAACAGCAAGGTCAAAATAAATATAAAAAAAGAAATGAGAGCAAAGTAAGGGGGAAAAGTATTAAGAATAGTGTTATAAATTTTGATAGTAAAAGAATTACAATTATTATTATAATAGTTATTATTATTATTATTATAATTATTATCAATATCATCATCCAAGTCATGATGGGATTCAGAGTTATCAAACAACATAAAAAATAAACCATTACTGAGCTAAAGCAACTATGCTGAATTGAGTAAGTTAATAAAATAGGGTACAGGACTGTTACTAAATCGTTTGGTTCTAATTGGTAATTGTGATATGTTAGAAGAATTACAAAGATTTCTCCCATGACACCTCGTGTCTGGAGGGGGGAAAAAGACCACTTGTGTGATCAAATTTAAGACCAGAAGCAAACTTACGACAATGACAAACCCTCCTATTAAGTAGGGAGTCAAGTTCACAAGATATTCAAGCATTCTCATAAGAAGTATAATTATTTTTCCCTAGAATAATTGTCATCTTATCAGCTTTCTTAAATGAAGTTTTGAGGTAAATGCCTTTGTTTTCGGTAGGTTTCTATTTATTTTTCACTAACTCCTATCTGGCAATGGCTAAATTTTACCTTTTACAGTTAGAAATTTTGAACTCAAATTTCAGGAATAGTAATATTAATACATTATTTAATACACAAAAACCCAATTCACACAAAATTCACATTCTACGACCTATTGTGGCTTTTGAGCTTTGCTTCTCAATATAATGCAGTGCGAATTTACAGCCCTTTTATGAGCTTGGGTCACATTTAATAAACAAATCATTACCATAAGAATGAAGCTTACCTGAGACCAATACTGGGGCACAGCCTCGTTTGACAGAACAATAAAACCTTCTTTGCAAACACCGGTGATGGAACTAAATATCAGTTCTTTACCTTAGAACAAAAACAGAAATCTATCAATACAATAGCAGGTAAAACAAAATGTGAAAAAAGTAAAATCAGCCATCAATACATGTGACACATTCAATACATCAATTACTTTTATACATCTTTTTAGACATTTTTAATTAATTGTTTATTGGTTCCTTCCATTCAATAAAAAAGTTAAGTTTGTATTTTTTGTTCCATTTTCTGATTTTTCTTTGCAGTTTCAGTTCAAGGAAATTTATTTCTTTAAAACCACAACCAACAGCAAAATAATTTCGCCAATAATAGTAGGGTTAACAAACAAGAATGCAAATACAAAAAATACAAAACAACAAATTGAAAACTGGATGAAACATCAAGGGAAAAAAGTTAAAAAATGATCAATTACAGTACACTTAAAACTTTATGCCTAAACTGATTAAACGAATATGAAAATATATCAAGATTATTATCTTCAACTAAAAGGGAATTATATAATTTACTTAATCTACAAAATAAACCATTTTGGATGGCATTAACCCTCCTAAAAGGAACATAAAATGTGGGTTTACTTCTTAACGTATGAGATGGGACATTAATAAAGAAACTTGAAATAAGATTACAATCGAGATTACTATGAATGATATTATAAAGAAACTTAAGATCAAGAAAATCCCTACGAAATTTAGGAGATAAACATTTTCTGAAATTCATTGGCTCAGTCAGGTTTTATGAAACAAATGCATAAAACAAAATAATAAAAATAATGAAATACATTGCCTTGAGTGGCAAAAGAATATAGAGGTAAACAGATATAGGTCAACTGCACACTACCTTAAATATTTTCACCACTCACATGCAGATGATGTGATCACTCGACGTGCAGATGATGTGATTACTCGACAGTGATTAAATTCACTTTTGGGGTGTTCTGTCTCATTTTTGTTTGTGCTCGTTCCTTGCTGTTTCTTTTATCGTAAATTTTAATGTTTTGAGACAAATAAATAAAATGAAATAATATAAATAAAAAAGATCTACACTAGGTGCACAATGTGAATGAATATCTTTAATTAAAATTAAAGTCTCATTCAAAATGGCTGCTTTGTTGAGTGAAAAGTTTTATCTTCGATATATACTTAAAATATTATATAACATCACACTCATAAACATTCATCATTTGTAATAGTCCCCAGTTCCTTGTCGTTGGTTCAATTCTCACAAATTTTAAAGATATAAGCAAAAATTTAATCACAAGACGACATGTCTCAGACAAACTTTTATGTTTAAATTTTGAGAATAAGTTTAACACTGACCTTTAATATATGAAGCATATGTGGGATTCTCCAGCAGTATTTTCCTGACGGAGCTAAGTGACATCCGGAATGCACCAATATTCCAATCACTTTCCCATCTCACATCACACAGATGATAACTACTACAGAGGTCCAAGCGTAATGCCTCCGCTTCTTCCCGGATAAACTGACTTTTTTCCAGCCTCTTGAGGGCTCTCTGTCTGTTTTTGACAAGCCATGACCTGGTAGAAAGTTGTAGAGAACAAGAATAAATCAAATGATGTTCTACATTGAATCAACTAATACCCAATTCACAAGAAAAAAAAAGTTACACACATTCCCTGGTAGGGAAAATGTAGAATATGCCCCAATCTAAATTGTGAATTGTAGTAGGAAAGTGATGAAAATATGGGAAGGATGGATGGATTTATTTTGGTGTAAACCCCAAGGATAACCTACGAAAGCCTGAGGAAGACCTATTTCCAGTGGGGTCCTTCTGGTGGTGATTGGGCAGTACACCGGGAGACAATCCTCTACTCTTTTCCAATGTACTGAGTTCTAACGTGCACATGGGCCATAATGCACACAGGTTTAACAACTTAACGTCTCATCTGAAAGACGGTGCGACATCATAACTTGCATTCAGCCCTAGCTGATATACAACGAGAGCAGCAATGGGGATTGAACCGAGAACAAAAAGTGATCTCCACGGTTTAGCGCACACACAGTGGCTATCACCAGTTTAGCCAACTGAGAGGTAAACAGTGATGGGCTGTAATGTTAACCCTATCAATGTTATTGATAGATCAGCCATTAAAAAATTTGGTTAATATCAAGGAGGATACAAAATGCTCTAATGCAAGGTCATCGGAGGTCGGGTAATTCTCTTATCACTTGCATCATACTGATCAGCACAGAAACTCCTTCATTATAAATGCAAAAATAGATTCAATTTTTTGCAGTAGGCATCTTCAGATGAAGAGGGGTAAGTGTAAAATAAGTTTGATGATTTAATTTTTAAAAGAAACGTGTTTGCCCTGGGCAAGTATTGTGTGACACTGTGGACACAACATCTTACACATATTATTGTACCTCTGTTGAAAATTTACTTCAAAGAGAGGGTCGTCTGAACATTTTTTTCAACAATATTTTGTGAGAGTGGTCCATCCAGCAATATTTGATAAATTCGGAACCCTCAGTACGTACAATAAACATAAATGCGAACACTGCATAGTTGGTGTGCATGCCAGTTTCTCATAAATGTGAATTAGTAAAGGCCTTCCAAAAAACGACCATAGAGCGGCTGTTTTAACACTAACCCAAATAGTGTTTACTGCATAGGAAGGCAATGAATTTCTGCACATTTTTATGTGAAACTTGCCGGGGGTTTTTTTTGTTAGAAGTTTGAGTTTTTGCAAGTTGAAAATATGATCTTTTGAAATGCTGAAAAACTGTATTCTTCTGTTGTTACAGCTGTGCTGGGTAATAAGGAGACTTACAAACTGACATAGAAAACAATGATTATGAAGAATTGTTTTGTCTGTTGATATTTATACTTCCGTTGATGTTATGTTAAGTTCACTTGCATGGAAACGACTACATGTAAGGTGGAATGAACAGATAGCCTTAATGACTTTTTAATGTTTAAAAGGGTATGCGCCATCTTATTTATCATCTAAATTTAAATTTAATATCGAATCCCATTCAAAATGTACACGTAGTCAATCTCATAATAACCTTTTTGTACCACAATGGAATAACTGTCAAGGCAAGAGAACTTTTTTGTATCGTTCAACAAAGTTGTGGAATGAACTTCCACACGAAACAACAACAAATTTCATGAAAATGTCTATTATATTTTTTTAAAACTCTTTTAATTCTTAATCACTTTATTATGATTCTATTTATATATATGTATGTTTTTTAATTACTTTTCTTTTAACTTTTGTTCTTTATGAAACTGTACCAAAAAAAAACAGTACACAAGTACTGAAAGTGCATGCAGTAGAAAGACAGAATAAATAAATAAATAAATGTTCTAGGCCTAGGCTGGGCCTTAGCTAGGCAGACCCAGGCTAACCTAGTTAGGAATGGACTGTGATGGTAATGTTAGTAAATGTACTAGGCCTAGGAATTTGGCCTAGGATTCATTATTTTGATTTTCATCATCAAGCAATTTACTGTGACTGTAAAAACACATACTCTAATAACAGGGCTCGGCATAATATACTATTTGTGATTATTGACAAAATGTTCCTGTCATTTATTCACTAAATGATAAATAAAATGCAGAAATAAAGGCATATATATGTATAAAACGATCAATGCTGAGCAATTGTTTTTAGATTTATATTTTCATAATCTCAATAGTTTATGAATTATTGAGCAAAAAATATACACTATAAAAATAAGCATTACAATGACCTTGTTAAATGATTATCTGGCACAGGGGATTGTTATCAGCCGGCACTCTTGTTGACTGATTAGGAAAAGATGGCAGCGTAAGGGTTAAGGGAACATACAATATAAACATAAAAAAAAGTTATACCAATCAATTAACATTACCAAATTAATACACAAGAATATAAGTAGTAAAATATGAATCGTGGAAAAATACTAATGAAAAGATTCAATATTTAAACTGATTGTTTTTTAAAATTTATTCATAATATTATGCTCTTTGCCGGTGTATGGTAAGAATGGCCCCGGAAAAAATGGCCCCGGAAAAAATGGCCCTGGAAAAAATGGCCCCGGTTAAAATGGCCCCATATGACAGGTAGGTAAAAATGGCCCCAATAATCAAATTCTGAATTAAAACTGATTTTCTTGAGTCATTATATGCATTTTTTATCTTAACTAATTTAGTTTTTTAAAAGGAATCTCCCCAATAATCAAATTCTGTATTAAAACTGATTTTCTTGAGTCAATATATGCATTTTTTTATCTTAAATATTTCAGTTTTTAAAAGGAATCTAACATCAAACAAATTACCATTTACATTTCACTTTTTGCAAGAATTAATATTCAATGATAAAATATTCAAAGATAAATAAAAAGCCATGAATTACACTTTTTTTTTCATTTAAATGTTAAAAAAAAGCAACAACATAATCAATAAATCAACATAAATCATGCATTTATTAATACTACAATAATTTACTTGTGGCCGATTTCACGGAAGCGGAATCACATTTTCCAGAAATTCAATCTGTGTATTGGTAAACCCCACAAACAGTGGGTTAGTATGAACATCAAAATATTATTATTCTTTTTTATTATTTTTTAAGAAAAAGAGAGTTCTACAATCATAATTATATAGTTTAGATGGGGTTTACAGTGTGTTTAGAGGTTTGTGGTGTATTTGCAAGTATTTTTTCATAAAAAAAATCAAAATTTTAACCAAAAAATAGTTATGAATGTATTTAATTTTCTTATTGATATACCAAGTCAGTCAATCACAATTGAATTGTTTAATTTTCTACAGTGTGTTTTGGGAGGTTTGTGGGATTTAGCAATACCACATAATCCTACCATAATCACCCTACCCTCACAATCACACGCCATTTTAATTCTTAGCATAATTGCCATACGTAACTATACATAATTCTAAGCTAGTAGTAGGCACTTGGATTTAGTTAGCGATGAGTAAAAACCAAGCATGCAACTAAATTAGTTGCTTAAATAAATGTATTCCTAATTATTCAGTTTTACTAAAAGCAATACTTCTTTGAATAAACTCTAAGCAGACAATTTATTGCTAAGTTTGCGAGAAAGTAAGCCTCTCCCTTTTCCCATACATGAACTTGTGATTCAAACACACAATTGATCCACATCCTTTAACTACTGTTTATTTGCATTGTTTATAACATGTAAAGTTAATTCATTTGATATTTAACAAAAGTGAAGTTTGTGGTTATCTATGAGTTACATATTTTGGTAGTTGAAGTACTGTATACTGTATGTCATTCCTCTACTTTGTTAGTGAAATAATGTTTTTAAAACTTTTATTTCTACTATCAAAAAATGTTATTCAATGGCCATTGTTTTCCGATTATCATTAACATTATTTGCATCTGCTGTAATTGTTAAAAAAAACAAATGCTTTTAAAGAAATAAAAAAAAATCACATATTGATCTCAGTTCAAAGGAAAAATTTTCACCTATAAACCTCTTAATTTCACAAAAGAGTGGGTTCTTTTCCAAACAAATACATCCTGCCTAATATTGTGTGTTTTTTTTAGATCTTTTGCTTTAACTTTGGAAACTGAGATCATTTTAGATACTATTTCTGTATAAACTAATTTTTTTTTTTCATATTACTGTAAACTTAATGGGTTTGATAAATTTACTCTGCAAAACGGAATTTCCAATAAAAAAAAGAAAATTAGTTAAAAAAACCATAGATTAAAAATAAGTAAGGCGTAACATATTTTTAATCTATGTTAAAGCATAACTATTTTTACATAATGAAATTTAGTAAATCAAATTATTATTTGTGGCTTTTATTTATTAAATCAATTAAGAACATAATCTCAAAACAAAATTTAATGACAAGAAAGATCAACGTTTCGGGTCCATCATGGAACCATTCTCAAGATCAGGTAAATTGAAAAAACTAAAACAATTAGCCCTTCTTAGCAGATTAACTAGATAAACAGTTTGGCTTTGACTGAGTCAGTTTGTTTGTTAAGTGTAGGTTTTTATGTAGATTTATTAATTAAATTTTTGCTACAGGGTATTTTACAGCATTTATTTATTATTAATTTTTTTTTTCTTGAATTTTATAATTCAGAGCCATTTTTTATTTCTTGATTCAATTCTTGCTTATATACAGTATTTAAATATTTGAAGATTAAAAAAAAAATATATCATTTTTATTACCAAATTTTTCATTGGGGCCATTTTTACCTACCTGTCATATGGGGCCATTTTTACCGGGGCCATTTTTTCCGGGGCCATTTTTTCTGGGGCCATTTTTTCCGGGGCCATTCTTACCTACATTCCTCTTTGCCATTTGAATATTTGTAAGAAAGAAGGAAAAAGTGCAGATTTGTTTGTTCGGGCTGTCTATTCGTTTTCCTGGCAAATATATTCAATTTATCTTGGAATGCCATATATGCATTATTATTATTACTAAACAACATGCCTAATACAGTAATATGAGATGCTACAACAAGTAAGTATTGTATCTCTTGTCTGTACTATCGCCTCTGGTGGTTATCAGTGCAAAGGTATTTGTCATGCACCATTTAGCAACAACAACAACAACAATTTAGTCTCAGTAGTTATGTATAACAGTTATGTTTTCTTGTATTGTGAGAGCTTCCAGAAAAATATTAAAATGACAATATCTATAACCTTTTAGATGGCTTGTAAGACAAATTATTTATTTCACTAATAGTTTTTCTTACCCTAGAGTTTTATTAACAACTTTGCATCTTGCAGGGGATGAAGCGTCTTTAGGGATCTGCTTGTTTGTATAAGCGTAGTATGAAGGGTCCCATTTTACCGGGCGTGGAAATGCCTGTGACTGATGTGCGAACCTTTTCACCAAGCTCTTCAAGTGGTCAGTGTCTAGCTGGCAGGTGTTAAGGATTTGAGAAACTGTCGACTGGACATCTCTGGACACCAGTTTTATTGTAACCACTTCAAATCCCACTGAAACATCATCTACAGTAGACAAAAAAAAATAATTTACATGTTTTAGAATAGTATACGTATTCGGAATATCGGACATATATTTGTCTACAAACAACCCCAAATCTAGCAAAATAAGTCCACAATTTATCTTGAAAATCCTTCCTCTAGAAATGACAGTACAGTATGTATACAACCAAATTCTGAGAAAGGAATAATCTTTGTAGTAGGCATGTTGAGTAAATATTTGGGGGATGAAAATGTCCAAAAAATAACCATAAAATCTGGGTTTTGTAATAATAAAATAATATGTTCTATGATCATAGTAATGGGAACTTTTTCGCTTACTGGCCCTTTGTACAGCCTTCTTAGAGTCTTGCAGTGGATCTCTCAGGTAGAATTTGACAGTAGTAGGGCTAGCATTGTTGGCACTGAATAAACATTCAAGATAGCTACTCAATTTCTGTAAGGAGGCCTCATTCACTGCCTGAAAAACAGGGAACGAAAGGAAACATCAGATAAATAAGCAGTTAAAAAGACATCTTTTTATCTAATTGTAATAATATGTCTGTATCCACACACAGCATCTATCATTAGAGAACCCCCTATCTTTTCTGAAGTGCGCATTACATTCCTTATGTTCCCAGAGGCCAAATGGTATGCCTTTTATACTTAACTTTCAGCCTCTAGGCAAGACAATTTTTTATTCCTTGTTGGCGAACCTGCTGCCCGCCAATAATGATGATTTCGAACAACAATAAAATGTTATTTTAGCCCAATTAGCACACCCGCCGCCAACAAAAAATGGAAATTAAAAAAAAAATTTAGAAAAATAAAATAAATAAAATGCCTTGTAATCTCCACTAAATGAAATTTATATTTCTTCCTAATTATACAAATTAAAAGCATTTAACCATGCCATTACTACACTGTTTATATTCCCAATAAAATTAAATTTCAGTACTTACTGCGTGAAGACGCGTGCGCTACGGACCGTTTTTTATAACAATCCGTTCTGACTGCAACCGACAATCAGCAGACTGCGTCGCGTCGTCTAGTGCCCACAGGGAGCCGAGTTGGATTCATCCTAGGAAGCAATGAGTGCAAGGCTTAATGCTCTTGCGTGGCCCAGGCAATAAATATTGGTCTTCTCATTATTTTGGTCGATTAAATCCTGTTAACTCACCCTTTCTTTAGGATGTTGGCCAAAGAAGTCAGGATGAACAGCGAAAAAAAATGGTCTCAGAGCTTCCGATGCCTGGGAAGCAGTCAAGTAACGGACACATGTTCTCAAATTTAGGTTTCTGCATAATCTACAATGACATAGGGAATATTTTCTTATTACAAACGGTAGTATTCAGTTTACTTGAGTTTCACATGTTAAGTAACTTTTGTGTATCAACTCAAAGAAACAAATTTTATATAGGTCTAGGCCTAATGTATTTTATATGACAATGACTTAATGAATCTTGCATTTTTAGAAAACATGTAAAAATGTTGTATTTTTTTATTGATGAATATTTGTTGCCCTGTTCTTAAGATTACGGCTCCATACCTACCAAGTCATGGCACATCTGGCAGGAGACTCCAGCTTTTTGACCTCATTCCAAGCCCTCCCACCGTGCCACATGGTGTGTACGGTAAAAATGGCCGCGGAAAAAATGGCCCAGGAAAAAATGGCCCTTGTAAAGATGGCCCCAAATGACAGGTAGGTAAAAATGGCCCCAATAATAAAATTCTGTATTAAAACTGATTTTTTTTAAAATAATAAAATTCTGTATAAAAACTGATTTTTTTTAAAAATCATTTATGTATTTTTTAAAACTGAAATAATTTAGTTTTCATTAAAAAAAGTGAATTTGCGGTTATCTATGAGTTGCATATTTTGGTAACTGTATGTATGTCATTCCTCTACTTTGTTAGTGGACTAACGTTTTTAAAACTTAGGCCTATTTCTACTATCAAAAAATGTTCAATGGCCATTGTTTTCTGATAATCTCTCAGTACATTATTTGCATCTGTTGTGTAACTGTATTTGTTATTGATTCAATTCTTGCTTATATTACAGTATTCAAATATTTGAAGATTTAAAAAAAAAATCATTTCTATTACTAAATTTTTTCACTGGGGCCATTTTTACCTACTTGTCATTTGGGGCCATTTTTACTGGGGCCATTTTTACCTACTTGTCATTTGGGGCCATTTTTACTGGGGCCATATTTTCTGGAGCCATTTTTTCCTGGGCCATTTTTTCCAGGGCCATTTTTACCTACATTCGTGCAACATACATCCTCCCAATTTTCTCAACGCAAACAAAAAGTAATCTCATAAAATTTTATAAATAACTAGAGGCCAGGCCCACACGTACGTACTATCATGAGGTACTAGTTTGACTCAAAACATCGGAAGAAATCAATGTGATGTTCAAATTTGAGCTACTGCACACTGAGTGGCCCCTAGACTGCACCAGAAAGCATCTAGGCCTAGCTAGGCAAAAGCATCTTTTTGAACTAGTCCCCTCCATGGCGAAATCTGACTCGAGCTGTACTTCCCTCAAACTGCGGCTAGGCCAAGATAGTGCTCCCTCACTAGGCCTAAGTAGCCTAGGCTAAGAACAGTTCCAGCAGTGCCGTGGTGGTCCTGTCATGCGCATTTTGTTACTCTTACACATTTTGAGATTCTGATGTTTCAAACTGAGCGTGCAGTATGCAAACTGCAAGGTTTCTTTCATCAATTATTGCAAAATGTGACATTTTTTAAATGTATTTACTGATGTTGATATTAAATTATTATTAGATTATAAATCAAAACAATGTATTTTTTGGGAGATAACAGCAATATTCCCATGTTTTAAGCGATCAAAATTTACACTGATGAAAGATCTAGGCTAGGCCAGTCCATGTGAGTGTGCGTCACGACGGTCGGTAGCTACAATGAAAAAATAAGAATAAAAATTGCATTTATTAAGGATTTACCACCATCAAATAACTACATAAATTTCAAATTGTGCAATAAATCCTTGCACAGTTTGCAAATTGTGCAAGAGCTTGCAGTTTGCAAATTGTGCAAGGAAGAGCTTGCACAGTTTGCAAATTGTGCAAGGAAGAGCTTGCACAATTTGCAAATTGTGCAAAAGTCTCAAATGTGCACGACAGTCCCAACTCTATCGTGTTTCCTTCGCCTGCCGCGGCCTCTAGTCTAGAGTCAAGGCTATCTAGACCTAGACTAACTCCCTGTCTATGGTAGGCCTAGATCTAGCCTAGGCCTAGCTAGCTAGCTAAAAGGAGTGCCTGGGCAGCCTAAGCTACTTTGTAACGTCTCATTTAAATTTGCAAACAAAATTCTAGCAAACCTATAAATAGGCTTTAACATTCTCAACATCTGGGCCGACAAAAGGTCATTTTCCTCTTTAAAAAAGGCTGCAAACTTTCAAGAAACCCCTTGTTTTTGTATATTTCAATCAGCTGTCAACAGCGTAAATTTACCGTCAACAACAGAGGAGAGGTCAAAAGAATACGGGAATGAATACCACATTCATATAAATTAACTTTAATATTGCCTTTCATTATTGCATGACTAAAAGATTTATCACCATCAATGTTTTTATCTTTTTTTTAAAACAAAAATAAAACTATTTTTCGTAATTTGAAGACTACAAAAAGACGACTGTTGACGTTCCTTGGCGATTGTTGACGCTCGCTTGCATCGTTTCAGTTCACTCAGTGAGTTGATGAGGTCGAGAGACACATTTTTCATGACACTCAAATCCTATCTTTTAAATGACGTCATTAAGGTTCCCTGCCGTTTAATCCAGGATTGGTCAAAAGTGGGCGAACAATACTGTAGCAGATGCATAATTAATAAAAAGTTTTGATTGATTTGCGTTTAAATCTAGACTAACTTAAAAGACAACAAAATCGAATTATGTGACGAATGTGTCTGAATGTGTAAACAAACACAATTTTTCTAGCCTATAGTTTAGTAAATTGCACTTATGAATATTTATTTTGATGATGTTGTGAGTGAGTAATTGTGAGTTTTGAAGAAGTAATTCAGTCAGTCTTATCAATTGTGATTCCAGAAATATTCTGATGTCCAACATGTCCAACATGTCCGACAGAGGTGGTGGGGAGGGAGATCCGCCAGGGGGCCGACTAGAGCCTCGTCAGTGTCACAAACCCTGGTAGGGTTAATTGGGAAATGGCTTTTTAGCATGTCAAAATTATGCCTTATATATCCTGCACAACAGTAGTTGGTCACTCGATTGTAGATGTACTGTGGAATGTAACTTTTTTCTGTGCTTTGTCAGGTAATTTTCTAGTAGTATAATGGAATTTCGTAATGTTGTTAGGGGGTTGACAACTTTGTATAGGAGGTGTTCAGCACCTGTTTGGTTTCCTTGCCTTCTTTTTTTATCATGTTTTTATAGAAATTATACTCAATAGGATATAGATATACAATTTGTAGAGACCTCGCAAAATTGCACACTAAGTAGACAGCACATACCGGTCACACAAAGAAATAAATAAAGAGAGAAAGAAAAGAAAGGAAGATGGAGAACGGTACTCCAAAACAAGCTAATTTTTCGGTTTAAATCGTGAGTGTATATTGTAAGCATTTCTATGCGTTTTTATTTATTTTTCAATGAGCTATTAAAATAAATATTTTGATTAATAATTTAGAGCAGACTGTTGTTGTACTGTACTGCTAAGCGTCATAGCGCCACCATTTGAAACTTTCGTAAAATTGGTGTGCACATGACATGTGCACACACCACTGCGGTTTGTTGACATCACGGTCACGGTTGATTTGCAATTTTTTGTTTATTGATTATCTTTTATAAATAAACGGTGATGCATGATGTTATTATTAGTTACAAACTGCAATTACAACGTAGTCAATCTTAAGGGAGAGTGTTGTGTATGCACTAGCAACAACTGAAGTAACTGAATTGTAAACTAATTAGTGGAGGTAAAAATATGATTCTCGAGACTTTTGAGAAAGCTCGCCTAGTCTAGGCCTACATATCTAGGCCCTAGATAGGTAGGGTATACTGTACTAGTACTGTAGGCCTAGCCTAGCTTAGGCAGTCATAGGCTAGCCTCCCCTAGCCTAGCTAGTCCTAGACTTAAGCCTTAGTAGGAAGAGAGAAGGAGGAAGAGGAAGTCACCTCCACCAGCCAGGCCAGACTAAGAAGGAAGTAGCCTGGGTTTAGTATAGCCTAGCCTAGGCCTTCTACAGTGTAGTTTATTTAAATTCAAGAGCTAGAGAGGAAGGATTTGGATTGTTTGCAGTTGTAGTGGTAGTATAGTAGGCTAGGTCTAGGACAAATATTAAATAATATGATATAAATTATAACACTCTTTTTTAGTACAAGACAAAAGAATAAGATGTGTGTAGGTGACTAGACTGTGAAGTAAGGCCTCTCTGTGGACAATATGTATGTGAGGTGTCATGAAAAAAATGAGTCTTGTTGTATGCCAAGAATGAACGCCCCCTCAAAAATTCATTCAATTCTGGACTGTGGATGTTGGCATGATTTGAGGTGTGGAGTAGAATCACATTCTCCTTTAGTCAATATCAAAATGAGGATATTTATGTTGGACAGATGAGAGCTTCCTGGACAGACAGTAGGCCTATACAGTATTTCCAACTTTCATCTTCTTACATTTTTCTATAGCCTAGTCCAACTGCTTTTCCGAAAATTTTCACCTAACACATTCTCATCTGAGTTTTCAAGAAAACCTGCAATGATCATGCAATCCTGCTAATCTCAATCGGCA